GGATGCTCTTCTCCATCCGCTCCTTCATTAGCAAAATGAGTCCTGTGGATATGTATCCTTTCTTTTTTTTTTCCCCACCCCACCCCACCCCTCTGGGCAATCTCGGGGGTGAGGGGAGAGGTTTTCCTTCCTAGTACCCCCCCCCCCAAAGCCGCGCCGGCAAGGCTTTTGACGCCTGGCGGGCTGGCGAAGAGGGTGTTTCCCTTAATGTCCCGCTCCACAGGAAGGACGGCTTCCTCTCCTTCCAGACCAGCAAGTACAAGCTGCACTACTACGAGACGCCCAGCGGGCTCAAGGTGGTCATGAACACCGACCTGGGAGTGGGCAACATCCAGGACATCCTGCACCAGATCTACAGCTATGTGAGGATTTGCGGGTTGCGCGTCCCCCTTTAACAGCACAAGGGGGTCCTCGTCTTAAATGACAAGAACCTGGGGCCCCGAATTGTCCAGCCACTAAGCAAGCCGGCCGCTTGTTAAAATTGAGCCGTCGCCCAACGTAATGGCCGGGTTATTGAAAGCCTGAAAAAGAAAACTCAGGTTGGCTGTGGGAAATTTTTGCCGGTGATTGCTTCCTGTTTTTCCTGTGGAAATCGAAATCGGCCTCTTTCTTGTTTAAAAAAAGAAATGAAGTCTCAGCAAGTTTAGGAAATATTTTTGCACTGTCATCTAAAACAACTAGAGAATCTTAATAAGAGGAATGGAAAAAGGTTCCGGCGATAGAAGGAAAATATTTGTAGCTCAGGGTTAAACAGGGGCCCTTTGTGCTCTCTGAGCTGGGTGGTTTTCTTGCGGACGTTTCATGACCCAACTAGGGAACATCATCATTGCTAGGAGGGGGTGGTGGTGAGGAGGAAGAACTATGGGGTCCTTGATGCTCTCTGAGCTGGGTGGTTTTCTTGTGGACGTTTCATGACCCAACTAGGGATTCTCATCAGTGCTAGAAGGGAGTGGGGTTGGAGGAGGAGGAGGAGGACGAAGGAAGGAAGGAAGGAAGGAAGGAAGGAAGGAAGGAAGGAAGGAAGGGGAAGCGGAGGAAGATTGTAGGGTCCTTGGTGCTCTCTGAGCTGGGTGGTTTACTCTCTACAGAGCAAACTGATGATGTTACCTAGTTTGGTGGTGAAACGTCTGCAAGTCAAAAGGTTCCTTTTCATTCCTGCTGGGGCAGTTCTGCACTATAAATGCCTGCTTCATGGGGGAGAGACAACAAATTGGACCCTTTGAAGGCCACAATCCTGCTGCATTTTTCCTCTCTCCGGGGTTGGGGGGTGGGGGGCCGCGTTGGGTGGGCTCGTGGAGAAGGAATCCCTGCTTACTGCCCCGCCTCTGTTTCTCCCCCTCTGGCTTAGATTTACGTGGAGTACGTGGTGAAAAACCCCCTCTGCAGCTTAAACGAGAGCATCCAGAGTGAGCTTTTTCGGAACAAGCTGGACAGCTTCATCCGGGCTTTGCCCTTCTTCTCGGCTCGCGCCGGCTAGCTCTCTTTTTCTGAACCCACCCACCCACCGACCCGCCGCTCCCGGACTCCACGGAGCACGAACAGTCCAGAAATAGCAAGCCGCATCACTTCCCGTGAGGCTGCCGGGCGTTTGCACTGACTTGTATACCTTTCACCAAGAATTGCACCCTCTGGAGACAGCTGTTTCCCCTCCGAGGAACTGCATCTGGATGTTGCTCCATCACTGGGTATCGCTCTATGTATAGTGGAATATTACGATGATTTATTTTTTTTTGTAATAAATTGGATCTCAGTGACTTCGGGATGTTGTGAACCTGTCCTTCTCGTCCTGCGCCATCTTGGCCCGTCCGTTTGGGTTTGCCTTTGAGAAGTAGCCGTAAGTGTCTTCGTTCAACGTTTAGATCAGGGGTCGCCAACCTTTTGGACCTCAGGGACCACCAAACTCATCATTTTAAATCCCACGGACCAGAGACCCTGGGAAAATCCCCCAAAAAGTCTGCAGGAAAATTCCCCACCCCATTTTCCTACCGATCGATCCTTCTTTATTTGGGATCTCAGGATACTGTCTCCATTCTCGGGGGGAGGGAGAGAGAGAGAGAGAGAGACTTTTGGCTTCATGCAAGAAAAGCAGCAGAAGCCCCAGAATTCTTTTTATCTCCCCCAAACTCCGCCAGAAGTGAGTCTTTGTGAGATTTGTCACACCAGCGCAGCCTCTTGGAGCAGGAGGCCTTGCAGGGTCCCAAAGACTCATTTCTGGCGGAGTTTGGGGGAGAGAAAGAAAGATTTTGGCCGCTTTCCTTGCGTGCAGCCAAAAGCAGAAGAAGGAAGAAGCGGAAAGAAGCAGCCCGGTGGCCAGTCCAGGCGCGTGACTAATTGTTCCACTGGTTAATTGAATATTGCCCTCCCCCCACTTGGATCTGAGCCTCTCTCTACATGTTACCCCCTTTTCCTCTTCCTCCCTGCTGCACCCCCTGCAATCTACCCCAAACGGGCCCGGGAGCATTCAGCCAAGAGCCAGGGGGTGCTCTGCTCCCACTGGGAAGTGTTAAATTTTCCACAGTCCCCCATTTTAATTCCTCTTCCAAAGCTCCAGATGTGAAATTCGGCTGACAGTTGGATTCGAAATCTACACTTAACGCTGGCAATGCTAGCGTTAAGATTAGATTTCCCCAGAGCCACTTTGGCTCATGTAGAATTGCATCTGTTGCACAAGCCCGTCTTCGACTTATGACCATCATTGAGCCTGGAATCACGGTCCTAAGTTATTGCGGCCGTTAAGCAGGTCGCCAGGGGGGCCGCACTGCCCGGTTTTATGACCTTGTGTGTGTGGTATTAAGCGAACGTGGGGGTCATTAAGCAAATGCGTTTGATCCCCTTGGCATTTTTGCTGGAAACCAGAAGGAAACACACACACACACACCCAAAAAACCTCCATCAAAATTGTGATTACAATAGAAAGGTGCAGTGGCCTAGAGGTGGTGCTATCGCAATCAGGTGGCTGTGAGTTTGATCCTAGGTAGAGGCAGATATTTCTCTCTCTGGGCACGGTGAGAATATATCTGCTGAACAAAACTCCGCATTGGCGACAGGAAGGGCATCCGGCCAGTAAACACTCAAAACTCCATTCAGTTGCCCAAGACTCCACCCCGCAAGGGATTATGGGGTCATTAAAAGAGGATGATGGTGGTCAAAATTTCATCTAAACTGCCACTGTATTTGGGTGAAGGTTGCGGCTGTCAGAATATCAACATCATGTCGGCGGCGTCTTCCGCTTCCGTCGCTCAGCAACCAGTCGTTAAGAAAGGACTACCTGCTGTTGCTTAAGCGAAAGCCACTTTTATCTCCTGTGATCCTGCACAAATCTCTTGTCTGAAAACACAAGTAGGCCTCAACTTAACAGTTCATTTAGTGACAGTTCGAAGTTACCACGGCATTGAAAAAAAGTGACTTGGGACCGTTTTTTGCATTTAACCACCATTGCAGGATCCCTGCGGTCGTGTGATCAAACAAATTAAGATGCTTGGCCAGGAATCCAGGAAAGTTCAAACGCTGGCACTCGGCGCTCTAGGAATTCAGGGTTTGTTCCCGACAAATGCCCCTCCCCGCAGCCTCTCCTTACGTCTCAGTCCCCCCCAGGTGTGCCTTGTGGAGAGGGGCGGGGCGCTCTCCTCCCGAGTAGCCGGGTCATTCTGCGCCGTTCTCGCCTTCTCTCCACTCTCCATGCTCTTGGATCAGGAGGGGGGCGGTCCTTGCTCATCGCCTGAGCTCTGTCTTCTCCTGCCCCCCCCCCATCCTCCCTGCCCACAAGCCTTGCCGATCCTAAAAGGCCCTGGCCTGACTCAGCCTGCTCCTCCCCCACTTTCCTCCCAAGCCAAGGAAGCCGCCCCTTGGATCTCTGCAGGATCCGGTTCCAGGACACCCCGGGGAAATTTCCAGAAAAGAGCAGTCAGGATATCCGGCGAGATTTTGTACCTGGGACATAGCTGCCCCCATGCACGGTTTGCCTGCGGCTGGCATCATCAGACCCCTTTTCTGATCAACGTGCAAAAGGACCCCCCCCAAAAATCTGAGGAAATTAATCACCCCACCACCACCCAAGAAAAGTGTGCAGCGGCAGCCAAAAAAGCCAATGCAATCCTAAGCTGCATTGACAGAGGGATACAATCGAGATCAAGGGAGGTGCTAATACCCCTCTGTAAAGCCTTAGTAAGGCCACACCTAGAGTACTGCATCCAGTTTTGGTCACCACACTATAAAAAAAGATTGTTGAGACTCTAGAAAAAGTGCAGAGAAGAACAACCAGGAGGATGAGGGGACTGGAGGCTCAAACATACGACGAACGGTTGCAGGAACCGGCCTGGCTAGTATAGTGAAGGGGAGACAGGATGGCAATGCCCCAATATGTGAGGGGCTTCCCCAGAGAGGAGGAAGGGGGTCAAGCTATTTCCCAAATCCCCCAAAGGCCAGACAAGGAATAATGGATGGAAACTGATCCAGGAGAGATTCGACCTGGAAATAAGGAGAAACTTTCTGACAGGGAGAACAATCAACCGAATGAAACAGAAGTTGCCTTCAGAAGTTGTGGGAGCTTCATCCCTGGAGGCTTTCAGGAAGAGATTAGACTGCCTTCTGTCAGAAATGGTGTAGGATCTCCTGCTTGGGCAGGGGGTTGGACTAGATGATTTCCAAGGTCCCTTCCAACTCTGTTTGTCGGTTACCTGTTAAAAAAGGGGGATTAGGTACCGGCCGGCGACCGAAGGCTGCGAGGGGAGGGGAAAGGCGAGGACCCAATGGAAAACACCAGCGCAGAGACCACACTCAACAGCTGCTAGTCCCACAAATCCCCCACGTGTTCCCCTCCACCCCACCCTGCAGACTGGGGGGTGGGTGGGAAACACAGCCCAGAGAAGCCACTCGGGTTGTTCCGTGCAGAGGCTCCGTTCTCGGGCTGCTGTCCTTCCCTGTGGCGGTTTTGCCCTTTCCCCCCCCCGCCCCCCCTCCCAGCCATGTTTGCTAGTTCTTCCCGCGGGGGGCCGGCCCCTATGGGCCGGGGGTCCATGGGAGGAGGGGGCAAATTCAGCCTGGAGGAGCTCTACGGCCTGAACAAGAAGAGCAAAATGCGCGGTGGTGGGGACTCCGGCCAGCGCCGAAGCCCCAAGAGACAGGGGGTCCCTCTGGGCCCGGATGGGGAGGCCCTGAATTGTCCCCAGGGAGTGGAGGCCACCAGGTGTTGCCTGGAGAAACGGCGGATGGAGAGCTACCTGATGGAAGCCGGGATGTTGGTGGAGGAAGCCGAGAGGAGCCAAACCAGCATGAGACACAGGTAGGGTGTGTGTGTGTGTGTGTGTGTGTGTGTGTGTGATGGGAAGTGCAGTCCAACTCGCTAGAAAACTCGCCAGCTGAGGAAAAGACCAATGGAGATCTAAGTAGGGCCCCCAAAATGACAGCTATTTGGGTCTTAGAGAGACAGACAGACAGACAGACAGACAGAGACAGACAGACAGAGACGGAGATGGGACGGAGAGAGGGAGAGATCATAAAATCATAGGGCTGGAAAGGACCTTGGAGGTCTTCTAGTCCAAACTTTAGGGGCCCCAAAGCTGGGGTCTTTTATCATCCTGGACAAATTGTTGTTCAATCATTTCTTTAAGATACATAGCAGACGGAGAGAGATCATAGATAGATGGTATATAGAGGTGAGATGAGATGAGATGAGATGGGATGAGATAGATAGATAGATAGATAGGTAGGTAGGTAGGTAGGTAGAGAGATAGATGATATATAAATGATAGATATGGATAGATAAATGATTGATACAGACAGATGATAGAGATGATAGATGATATAGATAGATAGATGATACATAGAGATAGACAGATAGATAGATAGATAGATAGATAGATAGATAGATAGATAGATAGATAGATAGATGATATATAAATGATAGATATGGATAGATAGATGATAGATACGGATAGATAAATGATTGATACAGACAGATGATAGAGATGATAGATGATATAGATAGATAGATGATACATAGATGATAAAGATCGTTAGATAGATAAATGATAGATAGACAGACAGACAGCGAGACAGAAAATAATTCTGGTGTCCCCCTAGGCTGCAGTTGGCTAGGAAGCGCCTTTCCCCAGCTACGATTCCTTCCACACAAATCCAGAATTGCCTTTTGCAGTCAAAACAGTTTGGTTTGTTGCTTTGCTTTCGTGAAGGGACCAGTTTCGGCTGCTGGTTTTGGATCTCGTGCGAGGATTGCAAATGTTTGTGTGTGAATGCATGACAGGGGTTGCTGTTTGAACAGAGGGTTGGACTAGATGACCTCCAAGGTCCCTTCCAGCTCTGTTTTTCAATGATTATAGATTTTCTTTTTCCTAAAAAAAATCTGATGTTGGGAAAAACACCGATTCTAAGGTACCAATGCAGCCAATGCATGGCTGGGGGATTCTGGGAGTTGAAGTCCATCCATCTTCAAGTTGCTGAGGTTTAAATCCATCCTTGCTACAAAAGCTCCTGGTGTTGCTTTCCTCTCAACTTTAGCAACTTGAAGTTGGATGGACTTCAACTCCCAGAATACCCCAGCCTTTCTTTCTTTTTCTTTCTTTCTTTCTTTCTTTCTTTCTTTCTTTCTTTCTTTCTTTCTTCTTTTTTCTCCTATTGCTTTTTCTTTCTTCTTTTTCTTTCTTTCCTTTTTTCATCTTCCTTCTTTCCCTTCTATCTTTTCTTTCTCCCACTTTCTCCTCTTTTTTCTCTTTTTTTCTTTCTTTTTTTCTTTTTCAATATTCCCAATATGTTAGATTAACAGAGTTGGAAGGGACCTTGTAGGTCATCTAGTCCAACCCCACCCCACCCTGCCCAAGCATAAACCCTACATCATTTCTGACAAATAGCAGTCCAGTCTCTTCTTGAAAGTCTCAAGTGATGAGACTTTCTTTCTCTTTCTTTCTCTTTTTTTAAATATAATTTTATTCAGTTTTCCAACAATTTAAAAACATTAAAAAAAAAACAATTGCATCAGCATTGAAGACATGATTTACATTTCTTAACCATATTCTTATACTTAATTTTCTATTACATTGCAATTATTACATATTACTTTTTCTATTAATTCTCTATTCCTTACTCCTTGCTTATACCACTTGTTACTGGGGTTTCTCTTTAAATCGTATGAAATATTTCACCTTTCTCTTTCTTTCTCATTTCGTTCTTTCTTTCTTTTTCCTTCCTTCCTTCCTTTTTTCTCCTTTTTCTTTTTTTCTTGGGGGGAATTTGAAGAGGGGAAGAGAAATGAGGAGAGGAATAAATAAACAAGTAATATATTTTGAGAAGGCAAATAAGCTTAGAAAACTCAGCATTCACCTGGAAACTATTAATTTGGATAACAACATTTCCATCCGAATGTAGTGCCAGGCCCATATTAAAATAAATAGATGCCATTATTTGGTTAACCTAGAATAGGTTATGTCTGAAGATACAATTGGAGAAATTGCAGGGTTATATGTGTAAAGGAAGGAAATTAAGACATAAATAAGTAGAGAAAGGCCGGATTAGAAAAACTCTTCAGCAGTTGCCACAGAAAAGAAGCTTATGAGAAATAAGTAATGACCATCACACAACAAATCAGAGAACATTGTAAATTTAGTAGCAGCAAGAACCCAAAGGCATTTTTAAAAAAAAGAAGAAGAAGAAGGAAGCATGGTTCAAATCCATTCAGGGCTTTCCCAGTTGCAATCCAACATTCTCTAACGCCAAACCAAGTTTCGTTTCAAACCGCTGCGTGAGGTATGCGCATGTGTCATCCTTTGGCTTTGGGACTTGCCAGAAAGTTGGGAGTATTTTGGGGGAGAGGTCCTGTTGATTCTCACACGTGTATGATAGCTCTGTGTGTGTGTGTGTGTGTGTGTGCGTGTGCTCCCAATCCGAAAGTCCGCAGCCAATGGGTTTGGCGACAACCCAAAGGATCCATCCAATAATGCGTATTTCCTCCTCCTCCACCACCACCACGTAAATCCGTCAACCTAAGATCCGAGGGCCACGCTTTCCAGGACTGGAAAAGGCAGGCCACCGTCTTCGTGGCTGGCTGGGGGGGGGGGAGAAAAAGATTCACATGTCATCATTGTCCTTCTCCAGCCATCCATGGAATGATCCCAAACCCAGGAAAGAGGCTTAACCGGAGAGATTAAAAGCCCAGAAGGACAGCTCCAATTTGGAAAAGGCAGAATGAATTAATCTCCCACGGCTTGGCCTAAATTAATTCAATTCCCATTCAAACGCAAGCAAAGGAAGCTTCGGGGAAAGGAGGGGGGGCCTTGTGATGTGGTTTAGGGACAGGGGTGGGATTCTACCTGGTCGGATTCGTTCTATAGAACCGGTCGTTACGATTCTGCGCAGTTCGGAGAACCGGAAAATCACGCCCCTCTCCTCCTCTCCCCGCCCACTCACTCCTTACCTGGTATGCGCGGCGCCATCCAGCTTGCCTTTGTCTAATATTTGGTAAGTTACTATTTTTCACTCCCCCCTCCCCCCCCCACCCCAACGATCAGCTGTTCCGGCTACCAGCTGTGCCAGATGATTTAGATTAGCTAGAAAGCAGGAAATCGTGGGAATTCTTGCTTTCTAGCTAATCCAAATCGCTGTTGTACAGCCTTCACCCATCAGGAGGTTTCCCCGAAAGGCCCGAAAGGCCCAGTCAGGGGGTTGTTATTGAGGGGTTTTTTGGGGGTGGGGGAGTGGGAGGGAACTGGCCTGAGAGCAGAGCCGAACCTTCCTTAGGACCTAAGCATCTATTTTCCAGTGCAGGCAGCAGATTGCAGAAAGGCAGATCTGTGAATGAATCTTGCAAGCAACTCAATCTGCTTTGCCTGATTTTGGGGTAAAAGTTGCTCTTTTTTAAAAAATAATAATAAAAAAATTCAATATTTACACAAATATTTGCAGTGTTTACGTACGAGCCACTCCCACACCAGCCACATGCCCACCAAGCCACACCCACAAATTAGGCCACGCCCACAGAACTGGTTGTTAAGAAATTTGAATCCCACCCCTATTTAGGGGAGCGGGGCTACACCGGGGGGGGGGGGGGGGCGGGGCCGGGGTCGAACTGGTTCCTAAAGAGGGGAATGTTGCTTGAAATTCGGGGGTCTCCGGTGCACAAGCAGCCCTTTAACGTGGCCATTTATGGAGAATTACAACTGTTTGAATGGAGGGAGGAGACATCCTTAGGTCACCTACAGGCACAGGGATCTCTCTGTGTGTGTGTGTGTGTGTGTGTGTGTGTGTGTGTGTTGGCCCCTACACTTGGACCACAGGCTTCACTCATCCTTTAGCTCCGGAGTCAGCTTCCACACAACACAGCCAAAAAGTTTTGATACTTCTTGACGGCCGGAACATTTCAACGAGCTATAACGAAACGGGATTAACCTCTTCTGCAAACCACCTGAGGGCAGGACAAGAAGCAACGGATGGAGACTCATCCAGGAGAGAAGCAACCTGGAATTATGGAGAAACTTCCTCTCAGTGAGGACAATTAACCAGGGGAACTGCTTGCCACCAGAAGTTGTGGGCGCTCCATCCCTGGAGGTTTTGAAGAAGAGACTGGGCAGCCATTTTGTCTGAAACGGTCTAGGGCAGGGATGGCGAACCTATGGAGCGTGTGCCGGAAGTCGCATGCAAAGCCATTACTGCCAGCATGCAAGCCCTCACCCAGAGCAGGTCTACTGCACATGCATGCGCGCTGCCCACCCGACAGCTGATTGTTGGGTATCTAGCACGCATGTGCAGGGGTGTGTGCAGGGGTGGGATTCAATTTTTTTAACAACCAGTTCTGTGGGCGTGGCATAGTTGGTGGGCATGGCTTGGTGGTTATGTGACTGGCTGGGTGTGGCCAACTCAATATCACTCACATCGACGCACGCATCTCCTCGCCTGGCCTCTCATGACTGTGGGGATGCTGCAGTCGTAAGTGTGAAAAATGGTCATAAGTCACTTTTTTCAGTGCCCTTGTAACTTTGAATGGTCCCTCCATATAAGCAAAGTACCAGAAAAGGAGGGGAAAAAAAATACTCCAGAGAAGTTCCTGAGACAGGAAGTCTAGTCCTGCCAAGAATGTCATAAGGGTTAATGGAGAGGCAGATTCTGTAAGCAACACCAGAATGTTTCCTTCCTGCCTTCCTTACAGGATTAGCCCAGTAATTTCTTCTAACAACCAGTTTTCCAAACTGCTTAGAACGTTAACAACCGGTTCTAGTGAATAGGTGCGAACTGGTAGAATCCCACCCCTGGGTGTGTGTGGGACACACACACACA